ATTTCTATACTCTTTTTTTTTTATATTGAAACTTATATTTATTTTTATATAACATTATTTTTAAGAATTAAAGAGTTTGAAGATTAAGACTGCCATATAAATACAATGAGAAAACAGTTAGAATTAGGCACAAACAGTAACAATAGCAACTAAAAACAAAATAAGAATAATAATAATAAAATTCATGAGAAAGGAAAAGCAAAGAAAATTATTCCAAAGGTTTGAATGTTGGAAAATTTTAGAAATTAGAACAAGGCGACAAATGTACGGACATACAAAGTCAAGGTCTACCCGCTGTTGTGGTCTACTGACCAAGCTGCCTTGTCTATGCCCACTGAAACTTCCTTCACACATTCATTTTATTTTTTATATTCAATAAACTTATTTATGCATGTCTCTTCAATTATTATTTTAAAATTTTCATGCAACTACCTAGCTAACTTCAATAAACTTAAATTCAAGATAGCAATAAATTACATGACCAACTAAGTCAAGTTTATCAATCTTGATCATTATTATGATTCATGAAGTTACAATATATTCCAAAATATTAATTTTAATTTTGTATTATTCTTTTTTGTGTGTACTTTTCCAAGAAAATTATTTTCCCGAAAAAATGTTTTTCAGCTCACAAAAGAACATTCTAAAAGTTTAAAAATATCGAAATAAAAATTCAATTAAAAATTGATTGTAAATAGAGAAAACTAGTAGAATATAGCCCTCCTTGGATCATAGAATGTGAAGTATAAAATATATATATATATAACAAAAGGGTGAAAAATCTCTCAGCTTTACATTGTTGACTTTGACTAAATTAGGCAAATATTCCCCATGCAAATTATTTTTTAACAATTAAAAAGGAAAAAAAAAGCGCGTTGAAACGTCAAACTCCGGTCTGAAGGTACAGCTACGGATCTCCGCCTTCAGTCTCTCTCTTCACTCCTTATATACTTTCATTTAAATCCCATTTCCCATTACTAAATTCCCTGACTTCCCCTTCGCCGGACCGCCATGACCTCCGCGCTTGTCGTCGCCCTCCTCCTCCTCGCCGTCTCCGCGGTCGCCAATGCCGCGAATTTCAGAGAAGCCCCCCAATTTTACAACTCCCCAGATTGCCCCTCCATTGCCGACGACCTCCAGGACCCCGACGCGAACGAACAACATCTCTGCTTCGATCGCGCCGTCCATGTCGCGATGACGTTGGATACCGCCTATATACGTGGCTCCATGGCTGCCGTTCTTTCCGTCCTCCAACACAGTTCTTGTCCCCAAAACGTAATTTTCCACTTCGTCTATTCCGCATCCGCCAACGTGTCGTCTTTACGCGCCGTCGTCTCCCGCTCATTCCCTTACCTGAAATTCCAACTCTACCCTTTCGACGAGGAGGCGGCATCGCGATTGATCTCCACGTCAATCCGATCCGCGTTGGACTGTCCGTTGAACTACGCACGTAGCTACTTGGGCAGCCTCCTTCCCACGTGCATCGCCCGGGTCGTGTACCTTGACTCGGATCTAATCCTAGTCGACGACATTGCGAAACTCGCCGCCCACCCACTCAGCGGGGACTCGGTCCTTGCCGCGCCGGAGTACTGCAACGCTAATTTCACCACCTACTTCACGCCGTCGTTTTGGTCCAACCCGTCTCTGTCTTTGACGTTTGCAAACCGGAAAGCGTGTTACTTCAACACGGGGGTTATGGTGATCGATCTGGACCGGTGGCGGGCCGGAGATTACACCGCCAAGATCGAGGATTGGATGGAATTGCAAAAGAGGATGAGAATCTACGAATTGGGGTCGTTGCCGCCGTTTTTGTTGGTGTTCAGCGGGAGGATTACTCCAGTGGACCACCGGTGGAACCAGCACGGGCTGGGCGGCGATAATATCAGAGGGCTGTGCAGGAATCTGCACCCTGGTCCAGTAAGTTTGTTGCACTGGAGTGGGAAAGGTAAACCGTGGGATCGATTGGTCGCGAACCGGCCCTGCCCTGTGGACGCCCTTTGGGCTCCATATGATTTGTTACAGACCCCATTTTCGATTGATTCCTAAGCTCAAGAAATTGATTGATTGATTTTTTTGGTTTTGTACATAGAGAGATTGATTCAACTGTATTCAAAATTTGATTTTGAATAAAGCAAAGGGAAGTAATAAATTCATAATGTTATATTTAAAAAATCATAATTTTATAAGGATTGATGGATATGTGGGATGGGGCTCTATGTTTATTTAAAGTAGAGGTAGAAATATGAATGATAGATACTCTAAGTCGTAGGTGATGTTTTGTTTTTCCACAACCATTAATGCAAATGTCACATCAACTCTAGCCCACTTGGAAGGATAAACGGACATTGTTATTTATTATTTATTTATTTATTTCAATAGTTCTTGTTAACGATTCTTGAGGGAGAAATCTTCGTGTTGGCTAATCAAATGGAACATAATGGGTGAGATCCTAAATTGGTTGGAGATGGGAACGAAACATTTCGGTGTGGAAACCTCTCTAATAGACGTTTTAGAACCATGAGATTGACGACGATACGTAACGAGCAAAAACAGACAATACCTACTAATGGTGAACTTGGACTATTACAAATAGAATAAGAGCCCGGCATCGAGCGCTGGGTCCTAAGAGGGCAGGTTGTGAAGTCCCCACGTTGATAGGGGAGGAGAATAGAAGTATTCTTTATAAGATTAGTCAGACACCGAGTGCTGCTTGGGTTGTTACAAATGGTATTAAAGCCAGACATCGAGCGCTAGGGCCTTAAGAGGGTGGATTGTAAGCTCCTCACATTGATTGAAAAGGGGAATAGAAGCATTTCTTATAAGGGTAGCCAAACATCGGGCGCTACTTGAGCTGTTACAAATGATATCAGAGCCAGACATGGAGAGCTAAAGCCCTAAGGAGGTGGATTGTGAGATCCCCATATTGATTGAAGAGGAAAATAGAAGCATTTCTTATAAGGGTAGCTAGACCCCGGACGCTGCTTAGGCTGTTACAAATGCTATCAGAGCCAGACACTGGTAGCTAGAGCTCCAAATGAGGTGGATTGTGAGATCCCCATATTGATTAGAGAGGGAAATATAAGCAATTCCTTATAAGGGTAGCTAGACACCGAAAACTGCTTGGCTTTTACAAATGGTATCAGAGCTAGACATCTAGAGCTATGGCCGCAAGAGGGTGGATTGTGAGACCCCCACACGAGCACTAGGGTCCCTAAGGGGGGTAGATGGTGAGATCCCCACATTAATGGGAGATTGATTAGAAGCATGGGTGTGGAAACTTAACCGTGAGGGCCCCAACGACGTGGACTGTGAGATCTCCACAGCGATACATAATAGATCAAAACGGACAATATCTGCTAACGGTGAACTTAGCCTTAGCCTAGCAAGCCATGGAAGAAGTCTTAGAATAGTGGGCTTTTGAAAAAAAAAAGAAAAGCCCGGACTCGCAGAAGACGATGGACTATGGATAGACAAGCAGAAGACGTCCGGACTCGCAGCCATAATGCATTGGGCCCAGATCCATCAGCAGTCATGGCCCAATAGTTAGTCCATTATAGGTCAGCCCATGAGTGCTCAAGCATTTTCCTTGATTTTTTTTAAAAAAAAAAATAAAAAAAAAAAACAACAACAACAAAGGGTCTTCCGACAACGATATATTCATCTAGAAAATTTGCAATAACTGCATGAAACGACATGATAATTTCTAAGGAAATTTCGGTGCAATTTCGAGTAGGGTCTTTTGCAATTTCTTGATAACTCTCCCAAAAGACTTTTACACTTTTCTCACATCCAATTTCTACATATATTTATATCATCTCATTCATACTTATTCCTCACCATCAGTTACCAAATGGCCCTTTCACCCATTTCCACTCCCTTCAAATGGTTTTCCAACACCAATCTCAAGCTCAACCTCCCTCGCCTTCGCTTCAAACATAAGCCCACCCGGTCTAACCCTCCTCCTCCACCACTACTCCTCACGCCTGCGCCCCCGCTCGCCGAAGCTGCCTTCCGCCACCTCGATGCCGATGGAGATGGCAAAATCTCAGGGGACGAGCTCCAATCCTACTTTGCATCAGTCGGTGAGTACATGACACGGGACGATGCTCGAAGTCTAATAAGAGAGTTCGACGGGGATGGTGATTTGTTACTGGAGCTCGGAGACTTCGAACGGCTGGTGAAGGGTGGGGAGCAGGAAGAGAAAGAGGATCTGAAAAGGGCTTTTGAGATGTTTGAAGGTGAAAAGGGATGCGGATTCATCGGACCGGCAGGGCTGCAAAAGATGTTTGGACGGCTTGGATACGTGAAATCCATAGAAGAGTGCATGGCTATGATCGGAGTGTTTGATGTTGACGGCAACGGTGTAATTGATTATCGTGAATTTCTCAGAATGATGACTTAACTTAACGGCCTAATCTTACGTGTCAATAAGTTGTCTTTTCATTGTCTCTTTTGTTTTCTTATGTCCAAATTAAGTTTGTACATCAAATCTCCAACAATGAGGAGATATTATGCTTTCCCCTTTAGGCTTCCTAAGCCTTTCGAAGTTTATAAAAGGGTTGAAGTTTTCAAACTATAAAAAATGTTTTGTTTATCTCTCTCATTGATGTGAGCTTGCATAATCCACAGGGTCCTCAAGCACTCGTTCCCATCTCCAATCGATGAAAGATCTCACAATAATCCACCTCCTCCAGGGTCCAGTGTCCTCGCTGGCACTAGCTCCTCTCTCAAATTGCTGGCACTCATTCCTCTTTTCAATTGCCATGGGACCTCACGTGAGGTCCCAAAGTGAACAATTCTATCATTGTGAAGGTTCGTGATTCTTAACATAACATCAAAATTATGATCTTAACTTAACAACTCAAGTGTTGACTAAAGTGTGAGACTCATGTGCCGAACAAAAGTCAAACCTCGATTAAAGGGTGACTATTAGAGAAGTAGTCAAACCTCGATTTTAAAGGGTGACTTGAGACTTTGTTCGAGGGAAAAATTGGTGAGAATTGCATTTTTTCTAAACTAAATACACAGTCAATTATAATCAGTGTAATACATACATACATACTTACACATACACATACACATGCATATAAATACGAAAGAGACGAATGGAACGAAAGAAATTAGGAATAAGGGATACATACAGAGAAGGCAGTGTGGGTTGGAGTGGGGAGCAGCTGGTACTAAGACGAGGATGTGTTTGTAAGTGGAAGACAAAGCTGAGCTTTAACTGGCTTGTGGTCGGAACTGTAAATCTCATCCATTGAGTCATAGGAACATAAATTTGCACTAATCTTCTCCTCCTCATCTAGTTTGAACAAGATCCTGTCCGTCCACGATGGCACTCTCACCTGTCATCAACACCCTTAGTGTATAGAAAATGCATTTTCTCAACAAGGATACTAAACATATCCGCTAGCAGCATTTCACCTTATAACTGCTGTCGTATTTGCTACTTCCGACGTTGTATTTGTAGGTCGGTTTGAACGACAATGTTCCTTCGCAGTAGCCATCGAATATGCGTCCTCTTTCAGCTTCTTGCATAAGCTGATCTCTGCTCCTTAGCAGCTGCATGCAACACCACACCACAATGTATTAGAAAAACACCACACCACAATGTATTAGTTTTTCTAAAAAAAAAACGGTCTAATTATGTTGAGGATTATTGGAATAGAGTCCCATGTTATCTAATTAAGAACATGATCATGAGTTTATAAATAATACATCTTTATTGGTACGAGCCCTTTTAGGGAAACTAAAAGTAAGGCATACGATCTTATACGTGAAGTTGACAATATCATACCATTGTAGAGGTTCGTAATTCCTAACATGGTACCAGAACCAACACTTAGTCAATGTCAATAGAATTCTTAAATCTCGAACAAAGAAATTGTGAACCTCAAAAGTGTAGTCAAAAGTGAAGGGTGTACTTTGTTCAAAGAATCCAGAGGAGTCGAACCTCAATTAATAGGAGGCTGTTAGAGAGCTCCATAGGCTTCAAGGAAGGCTCTATGGAGAGGCTATTCGAGAGCTTCATAGGCCTCAAAGAAGGTTCTTGTTCGAAGTGAGGATTGTTGAGAAAGAGTCTCACGTTGGCTAATCAAGAGGGTGATCATGGATTCATAAGTAAATAATATATAAGCTACGAGAGCTTATACTCAAAGTGAACAATATCATATCATTGCGAAGTTATTAACATGTTAAACACGAGATTACTTACTGAAAGAAGATTTTTGCGGATCAAATTTCGAGCTGGGTGTGTGCTGATCCCTTCAATTCTGTAGTTGAGATCCCCCAACCAAACGGTGACTTGAACGGGCAATGCATAAGGGTTCCATTTCTTTGAAAATAACGAGTGCGTTATGTGTTTGCACTCCCAGTTCCTCTCCTCTACCTTGTGAGCGTGAGCTGCAGATACCAAAACATGCCACTAATACTCAAAGAAGACTCATAGCTTGGAAATGGGCTTGTTTTGAATGAGTTTTCAAGCTCAAATAGAATGATAAAAGTTGGACGCATACCAGAGAGATGACAAGAAATGAAGAGCATTCGGATGCCTCTGTAATTAAGAAAAATGGCCACAGCACCTTTCTTTCTTCTCAGCAATCCGCCACACCCTCCAATTGATTGTTTATCCACCTTCACCTCTGCATGTAAATATATAAATTTAAAGAAGGGTTGCCCAAGAATCAAGGGCTTGAATTTGGTTGACATTACCTTTGATAAAAAAGTCAGAGTTCTTGGAGCAGAACACATAGAGTTGCAGAGATTGCATGGTTGCTTCTCCTACCAACCTTTAAATGCAAACAAAAAACCACACATAAATTAAAATTAAATCCAGCCGCCCATTTTTTATTCAACCAAAAATTAAAGATCTTACATGTGAGACTCAGCCAAAGCCGACTGCAACAGGCGGGAAACATCCGACCGTGGCACCTCCTGCAACCCGACAACGACGAGCTCAAATTCCCGGCTGCCGCCTTTTCCTCCGACCAGCTTTTCCAAATCCCCATAACGCGCTTGCCCATTCATGTTCCAAGTAACAATGTAAATGCAAACGCCGCTGCACACGTCTTCATCGACCACGACGGTTTTTATCCCTTCGTGGGCTGCGCCGCCCTGGTGCTGGAGGAGCGCCGGCGCCGGCGTCTTTGAATTAGTTCCTGTACATAATCTGAGGAGATGATTCAAGGGACGCATAACGAACTGGTAATGGGAAGGGTACGTGTTAACTTTGAGATGGCGCATTGTATATATAGATGGCGAAGAATAAACAGGGAATTGAAATATAAATGTGGAAAGATAGGTTTTGGCGGTGACAAAGATTTGGGGAAACTGGGAAAAGTCAAAATCTCTGAAATTATGTATGGTTATGGTTCCTTCCTGTTCTTCCAACTTCCAAGAGTTAGGTTTGGAGTTATTTGACAACGCAATCCAAGTTACACACGAACTTGAACACCATATTCTATATTTTTTAATCTATAAATCTAATTTTCATTTGAGTCCTTTCATTTAATTATTAAATTTTAAAACATTATACTTTATTCTTTTATATTTATACTCTCTTATTTTCATTAATACTTACATTAATGCTCATCTTCATATGGGTTACCAAGTCATTGTTGCTAACAACAAACAAAGAGTCCGCTTTAACCCGTTGAATATAAATATCAACCTAACCCACCACTAACAATATATTATCAGCGCCCATTACATATAGCCATCGTGCCCTGTTACATATTACTATGCCCCGTTACATTTTTTGTGGTACGTTTCGGCCCATTTTGGCCCATTTCGTGGTACGTTTTGGCCCATTTCGAGGTCCTCCTTGGCCCATTTCGAGGTCCACCAAGAATGTGGTGGCAAAGTTATTATCAATTACCGCAACCCTAAGGTCCTCTTTCTTTTCCGTGTTCGCGTACTTGCGTGTAGTTTAAACCATTATGGCTTCCTACTTAGGTATTCGATTCGGTTCGTAAAGAAAATTAACATGTTGCCCATTAGCATTCGCAAGGACCTTGTCATTATTATGAGCCACATTCGAAAAGTAAATGCCTCTGAATGTTAACCAATTATCTTGAGAAACTCCCCATTGTTTCTTCATCTTGTTGAATCGTCTAATTTGCAGAGAAGCATTTAGGTATATGTTTCTTGGTGTAAGAGCACTCTGATCGGCGCCGTCACCTCTGGGGTGTCCAATCGCTGTTTGAATGTAGGGAAAGGGCCGTGAATTCGTAGCAGCAGCTCATTAATTTTCTCACAAGGAGATAATGGTAGAAAATTATGTGAGTTCATAAACACTTTGTATTAAAAATTCATCTAGGTACTCACAGGAACGGCTCAAAAGTGCTTGAGAAATAATCACAGAAACAATCTCAGTTTCGAATAAACCAGAGTCTGCCTTCTCATCATCGCCGCACTTATGCTTGTGTAAATACAATAAACCGTCTCAGATTCAATCAAATCGAAATCACATTATTCGAAAACGTCAATAAGCTCTCAAAATCGTAATAAGAACATAAACGGTGGACAGAATCGAATTAAAAAAGAAAATTGGAAGAAAAGTGAGGTTTAATTTCTCTCAGACAAATGCCTCAATTGTCGTCAGGGATGAATGGATTAGAGATCGGACTCGTCATCATTTTTCATCATCACAGAGAAAACCTCCATATAAAAATCAGAAGTCAATAAACTGCAGAAATTGAAAGAATTTGAAGAAGAAACAAACAGGCGGCCAAGTTCTGAATGAAGAAGACGGCCAGATCGCTTCTTCGTTCCGTACGCAGAATTTGTTAAGACGGTGAAGCGAGAGCTTTTCATCCTTATACAAGATCCTTTATTTGAAAATGAAACGAAAAATCATCGTAAAAATGCAGGAAAAACAAAATAAAAGAGGTTGATTTCTCTCAGACAAATGCCTCAATTGTCGTCAAGGGTGAATGGATTAGAGATCGGACTCGTCATCATTTTTCATCATCACCGAGAAAAAAACATCAACATTGTTGAAAACTCTTTGCAAAAAGATTATTTTAAAGAAGAAAACGATCGGATTCAATTCGAAATATGCATCTGAAAACAAAAAGATTGAATCTGAAACGTAAACAAAGATGAAATCTCACCTACTCGAGAGATCGGGTCACAAAAAATTCAAAGAAACCAAACCATGCGGCGTATGCTCCATCGGAGAAGGATTGATTTGCTGATGCTCACTTCCTTGGATATTTATAATGAAAAGATGCTTGGCGGCTAGGGCTCACTGTCCCGCCTCTTGCGCTGTTCGGTGGGCTTAGCTAAAAAACTTCGGCCCAATAGACTCTATTGCTTCTTTCTTTTTGAGGCTTTCGGCCCATATATTAATTTAATTAAAACCCCAAAAATGAACAAGCTTTTATTTTTCCTAATTTATTCGCAATTAGCTTAATAACAGGACTTTGATTAGTGGTTTAGAACTAAAATAAATAAATTTTATCTACAAATAATTAGGTTGTATCGATTTTCATATTAGGTTTTCAATATCATTATATTGAACTCTAAATTCATAGAGTTGGACATTTTTACCCTCGACCAAATTTCCTTTTTAATCTCGTTTTAATAAATGAACCATTGAATAATTTAGTCAAAATTCACAAATTTAAATAAAAAATTGACCTCCAACTCTATTTTATTGAGATTTTATCAAAGTTGTATTATATATAATTTTTATCATTAACTATTTATAAATGATTACATTTAGAACAAGGTCAAAATTGTAACGCTCTATTGATATATTTTTTAAATTTGAGATACAATTCGACAAAATTGAACATTAAAATTAAAATTTGATACAACTTTGACAAAGTTTAAGGGTTCAAAGATAACACCCAAATTCTCGAATTTGAAAAATAGGGTCGAAGCTCATCACATTGAAAAGTGACATCGCTTCATTTTCAATGAAAATAGAAAGAGTAGGACCTACTATCCACCCATGCCACTTGTTCGATGAAAATATAAAGAATAGAACCTATTATCTACTCACGACTGATCTCCTACTCTCTTCCACTCAAAGACAACCCACCACTAGCAAATATTATCCGTTTTGGCCCGTTATGTATTGTCTTCAACTTCACAGTTTCAAAACGCATATACCCAAAGAGGTTTCCACACCTTTATAAAAAATACTTCGTTCCCCGGTAGAGGTAGAAAACAAGGGATAACCTCAAGCAAACCAACTCTTAACACTCATTGGAAGCTGTTATGCTCAAGTATCAAGCGCTTATTATTTAAGAAGAGATGAAATATGTGGCCATTATTATTGAACTCCCTATGGTGGTCTTGGCTCTCCGATATCACCTCCAGGCCTAAAACTTAACAATAATAAGAGGGTAAAAGGATACTAACCTAACAGATCAAAGAAAATCAATGTAGAGAAGAGGAATGTACGTACTTGTGAGAACTTAAGTGATCAAGTAGAAGAGTGAAGAAAATTAACTCAAATCAAACTGGATGGCAAGTCTTGATTTTTCCTTAAACTTCTGAGGAAGCTGAAGATTTGAATATCAATTGATGGGGTAGGACAATATGGAGCTCATTGAACAAATCATGATAAAATGTTGTAGACGTCCTTGCAACAAAATAAATTGTAATTAAGAGTTAACTAACCCTGAAAATAGAATGTACAGAATGCTACACAACACTAGTAATTCTCTGCCACAGGTCTGGAAGGAAAAAGCCTCAAAAGAAAAGTCATTAGCGACCAGAGGCATATCACTCCCAGGACTTGAAAGGTTATCATCATAGAAAAAATAGCTCCACTTTTTTCCAACAATTCTGGAGTGTTGGGAAGCCCTCTCATTTGGAACATCAACCTCTCCATACAATGGGAAGCTTTTGTCAACTGGTAAAGTCTATAAACCTGCAAGTTGATTCGTTTTGTAAAAGATCTTGTTCACTCTTTGAAAGCAACGAGGAATGAGTTACTTACAACTAACTATACGTGAAGTACCTCAAAAATGATTGGAACGAGTGGCCAAGCAGCTGAGCCACGCCTATCAACATGGGTTTCAAATGCCAACTGAACGATACAGCCAACCAGAAATGGAAACACTGCAACGAGGGCAGGCAGGCCAATCATCGGCCAAGTTACATAGACGGCAAATAGTGGAGCTACAACCTTGAAGCCAGAAATGAAGAAAGCTGTTGTCAAGTATCCTCTAAGGCCTGTAATGAGACTCCACCTCTTCGAGCTGAATTGCAAGTATGGTTTTTGAACACGATCGGTCACGAGCAGGAACGCAGCAACTCCGACATAAAATAGGACTTCAAACACCAATGAAGTCACAACTTCTGCTTGAACCATGCAAATGTATTGCGTTAGATAACAATATGCCGCACACAATGGAATGAAACAAACAGCAGACAAAAGGAAACCCCAGTAATCATAATATAAAATGAACTCGGTTCAATACTACCTACGAGAATCTCCTCCTTGAAGTAAGCCTCAATTAGATCGCCAAGGAAAACTTGAGGAAAAATCAAAGATGAGATAAACACTGCAGGAGCTAGTACCCAGAGGAGAGAGCCCTTGTCTTCTCTAAAAGGAGCTGACATCAATTTACCCTCTTCTACCAGCTGGTGAGTGAGACCATGAAATGAGACAGAGCCAGATTTCCCACGACAAGGCTCCACTCCATTCAATGCACTAACATACAATACACGATTTTCCTTTCCAGATGATTCCAACTGAGGCTTCCCGTTAGAATCAGCCACGCACATGAACGCCCCTCTCTTCCTCTTCAACACATCCCCTGCAAAATTGTTTTAGCAGAAATCTCTCACTCAGTATTAACTCTTACCAGGCTGATCCAGGAAAAAAAAAAAAATACACACACAGACGCAAGAATAAAAGAAAACATACACTTGGATGCAAATTGAAGCTGTTTGGATGAAAATTCAAGCTGTTCTCCTTGTTTCCACCGGTTTCCCAATTGCTTGAGAAGAAATGAAGAGCGAAACTACAATGTTACTTCCGAATGACTGAAAAATCATTGATTAAACATTGGTAGCAAGTACTCACCATTTGACGAAAGCGAGAACGGCCATCCTGTAATCCGACCAGAGCCGGGGGAAGCCCACGAGAGAAGGATTGCGACTGCATATTCTTAGGGTTTTAGAGCAGAGCAAGCGGTCCTTAAACCCTAAGCCCGCGAAAATGCTTCGGGCATAGGCGTCTTCGCGAGGAAGTTGGAAAACGATGAGGATGCCACGGTCTTAGCCGAAACCATTGGGATTAACGTTTCGGAAATCGCTCTCGTTATGGGCCTCCTAAGGCCCAGCTGAAGCATATTCGGATCCAGCTTAGGCCCGCGATTGTACAGAAATTTGGATTATAAGTTTTTTTAAAAAAAATTATTTATTAATAAAATATGTTTCCACGTGGCGTGTAGGTAGGGTATCTCCAGGGTATTGAGCCACGTGTTCTCGCTTGACCAAATCAACGAAATTAACAGATTTTGAATTTGCTAAAAATGGAGAAACTCAGTTCTGTCCATCCCTTGTTGTACATTTTTAGCATCCTCTCCTGGGTTTACTCTGGATCATCAACGCATTATTTGAGCCCCAAAAGAGCCATTTTAAGTGTGGGTCTTTTGGGCTATCAGGCTTCTGGGGTTAAAACTTATTTCTACATCGCATTTTCACTTCTCATGTCGGAATCCGTATAATAAAATCCACACAAACGAGAGAAGGTCGGAGCAGAGTCAGGGAAACAAGATGTTTGGAGAAGACAACAGCATTCCACGATCCAAATTCGGCGGCAACATGGCACATTCCGACCCCAACATTTCGACCACCGTAATCGAAGACGATTTCGCCATGAGAAACAGCAGTGCTTCTGTGGGCGGCCAAGCCTTTTACGACCAGGGTCGTTTGAGTGGTGAAGGCTCTCCAATGACAATGTCGCCCTGGAACCAGACCTCTACGTTCGGTAAATCTTCATGGTCCCAAGTGGAGGAAAACAACGACCCACAAAATGCCTTAATTGGCTCGCTAACCCGTGAGGAGGGCCACATCTATTCCTTGGCCGCTTCAGGGGAGCTTCTCTACACTGGCTCTGACAGCAAGAACATCCGAGTTTGGAAGAATTTGAAGGAATACGCTGCATTTAAGTCCAGCAGTGGGTTGGTGAAAGCCATTATCATCTCGGGTGAGAGGATTTTCACGGGACACCAAGACGGCAAAATCCGCGTCTGGAAGGTGTCCCAGAAGAACTCAAGTGACCACAAACGAGCTGGTACATTGCCAACACTCAAAGACATTTTCAAAAGCTCCATTAACCCCAGCAATTACGTGGAGGGACGAGGGCGTAGAAGGGCTCTGTGGATCAAGCACTCTGATGCAGTGTCTTGTTTGAGCCTCACTGAGGACAAGCTCCTCTTATACTCTGCTTCGTGGGACAGAACACTGAAGGTGTGGAGAATTGCAGATTCCAAGTGCTTGGAATCACTGAATGTGCACGACGATGCGGTGAATTCGGTGGTGGCGAGCGTCGAGGGGCTGGTGTTCACAGGTTCGGCGGACGGGACGGTGAAGGTGTGGAAAAGGGAGGCCAAAGGGAAGGCCACAAAGCACACTCTGGTGGAGTCGTTGCTGAAGCAAGAGTGTGCAGTGACGGCGCTGGCAGTGACGGCGGACGGATCCGTCGTGTACTGTGGGTCTTCTGATGGGATGGTGAATTTCTGGGAGAGGAAAGAGAAGTTGACACACGGTGGTGTTATGAAAGGGCACAAGCTGACTGTGCTGTGCCTGGTAGCGGTGGAGAGCATGGTGTTCAGTGGCTCCGCCGATAAGACCATATGCGTGTGGAGAAGAGAAGGGTCAACCCACACATGTCTGACGGTGCTGACGGGACACACTGGGCCGGTGAAGTGCTTGGCAGTGGAGGAGGACAGTGAGTCCTCGAAGGCTGGGGAGAAGCAGTGGATAGTGTACAGTGGGAGCCTCGACAAGTCCATTAAGGTGTGGCGTGTGCCTGAGATGACGATGGATAGGAATGCGGTGGCGATGATGCAGCAGCAGTTTGGGAGTGACGCGGACTCGGTGCCATCGGATAGAAGCTTCACCTCTTCTAGAGAACCCAGCATAAGCAAACGGTCGTGAATTTGAATGTGAATGAGAGCCTGAGTGAAATCTTTCAACATTTTGTGATTCTTTCAAGTGTGTGTTTGGCTTGACCCCATGTGTTCTCTGTACCACCAAACTCACCTTTCTCCCCTTCTGTTGTATATTGTGGAACATTTATAAAGGATCTAACCCTCCGCTTGCGTATCATTGCATCTTATCATAAAAGCACATGTTCCATTAAATCCACTCCACGGCTTCCTTTCCTTTGTTGTGTATAACTGTCCAAACTCGCTATTAGTAAATATTCTCGTTTTTGCCCTAGCTTATAACCGTTAGCCTCACGCTTTTAAAAAGAGTCTACGATTTTAAAACCTCTCTTACTAGGAAGACGTTTCCACACTCTCATAAGATTCGTTAGTGGGATCTTGAGATCCAATCCCTTGGCTGATCTAAGCCTACACGCATCGTTCAGACCTAATTTACAAGTAGAGATTAAATATTTACCATATTTTACAAGTAACACACCTAATTTAGGTGATGACTATGATCATTTGGAGAAAAAAAATGGACAGCAAATGTGAAAGCGGTTCGTTCAGACCTTTCCTACTCAAAACTGAACTGTTGTTTCATTGTGAGAGTGTACGAGTATGGCTTCTTCTTGCTTCGATTGGTTTGTGAGACGTTAAACCATCCAAGTGTGCACTTCTGCAGCCGACTGGATCGAAGTCTAAACCAAGAGGAACAACTGGATCTCCTCCTTCTAGCACTCGAAGAATCTGAAAACGAAATCGACTTGGATGCATCAAACAACCACCATAACAAACGTGCCACAAAAATTGAAAAAATTGAAAACAAACCTTTGACATTGAGGGTCTTGATTCAGGATCTGGACATAGACACAAGGAAGCCGCACGGACCATAGAATGCAGTTGATAACAGAAGTCGGGGGATTGCTCGGATGCTAAGCATGGATCTACCAAATGGTTACTACTAGCTAGTAAATGTTGAATTTGCAACGCAGAGATGGGGTGGAACCATTCTGATATAAATTGTTTTCCCTCTAGACGGTGCAGCTCACAGCTTCTTTTACCACTAATCAACTCTAATAAAACCATGCCAAATGCATATACATCCACTTTTTGTGATACCATACCGCCATTGATGTACTCTGGTGCTAGATACCTGGTTCCAGAAGTAACTAGATGAATCAAATGATTAAAAAAAAAAAAATCTTAAACGTGTGCTTGATAAGGGATATTGTTCGTGGCTTCTTTTTTTCCCAAACTCTTGTGTTGTTTAGTGAACAGACATAAAAGTTGTAACTTTGCATATAAACAGGATGTGGAGTGAATACCCTGAAGTTCCAATAACTTGCTCCTCAACACTGGTAGACCATTTAGAATGCCACCTTGCCAGCCCGAAATCAGCAACCTGATGGGATAATAAAGTGAGATCATCTCAGAATGGATGATAGGATGTTCTGGAAAAGAAAATAAATGCTTCAAGACTTAATAAAATCGATATAAAAAATGAAGGTACCATGGGTTCAAAATCATGAGTTAGGAGGATATTGTGAGGTCGCATATCTCTATGCACTATACACCCAACTCTGCAATCTTCGTGAAGATAACGTAAACCCCGTGCTGCTCCTATTGCTATCTTTTGCCTTGAATGCCAATCTAACTGGCTTCTACTCCCTGTCAGTGACTGAAACTTAGAAATTCCATGATTGAAACCTTATAAATTAGAAATAGCAAATAGCCTGTATTCATGATAAACTAGTGAAAATTATGCACATGAAACAACCCAGAAGTATACCATGTAAATGGAAATCCAATGAACCATTGCATATGTACTCATAAACCAATAACCTCATGGTGTCCTCAATACAGAACCCAATCAGCAACACTACATTTCTGTGTTGTGCACAACTCAACACCCGAACTTCTCGACAAAAATCGGCATCTGCTTGTAAGCCTCCACATTTCAACTGCTTCACAGCTACAACTTGACCATCTCTCAAGATTCCTCTATGAACAATTCCAAAACCGCCTTCTGCCAAGAAGTTCAAATCCGAAAATCTGTCAGTAGCTTCCTCAAGCTCTTTGAGAGTGAACTGTCTGGGAGGTTTTCCAAAAGCCGGCGCTTTGTGTTGACATAATGAGCACAGAGGAGGGGGTGCAGAGGATGCTCTGCCCAAAGAGACAGCATCCCTGATATTTGAGTCCACAATGTAATCCTTTCTCTCAGACTGGTTGAGCCTCATATCTTCAAAAGTCGCACTCTTCTCAAGACTTGAAGGATTACTGAATGGCACCTTGGGAGTTGAAGCAAATTTAAGGAATCTTCTTTTGGACTTGGATAGAGTTTTTCCCTCAGAAAGGTTATGGTTCTGAGAAATCCAATAAACACATTTTTGATTTGAAGCCACAGATGTTGGAGGTAGAGACAGAACTTTTTCTTCCACTGAGTTGGATGACGATACTGAAATGCTTAAATCGTTAGTCTCATTAATTGGCAAGTGATTGCCTTTTAAGTTCCCTTCATATAGAGGGTTTTGCTCATACACAAGGAAAATAGAAGACACTGCATCAGTACCCAATTTTGACCCTTCTTTAGAGGATTTTCTGAATGAGGCACTAGGTTCTTCTTCCGGTCTGCTTGCTAGTGAAGCTGTCTGCTTCATCCTATTTTGTTGACCTTTTCGAACAGGAGACGAATTAGCTGAAAAGAAAGGAGTTTGAGGTTCACTCCAACACTCCAAATTAAGCCTGAGAACTTTCGGTTGAGACCCTTTCATTGTAACAATATTGCAGCTCAGTTCTTCCAGGCAACTTTTTACCTCATTCTTCAATTTCCTGGTCAACAATTAACTCAGGCATTAGATTTGAAACTTGTTTAGTACAATCATCATTCCACGGTACAAAAAGTAGAGCAAATAAAAATCAAAGACGTAACAGCATTTAGGAATATAACTGGCGATAAATAAATATTATGGGAAATTTCAATCCAAAATATATGGATAAGGTCCATAAGTAATAGATCACTGGGTACGAATGCAAATCTTGCATAAAAATATAGAATTAGTTTAAAAATTCTGTTTATAAGAGCTGCAGAACAAACTTTCATAGACAACTTGTGATTTACCTGAAGTTCTAAATAATTATGTTCAAAGCACAAGCAAGTGGTCCGCTCAAGTGAAAAGATTATTAATCATAGAATCAGTAAGAAACATAAGAACATCGTACATTCTGATGGTAAATTACCTGTCTAGTACGACCCAATTAACTCCTTTTAACTTTGCTTCAGCAGCGACAGCTCCTCCCTGTGTTCCTGTGACCACCTTAACTCTCACTTTAACCTGAAAACCAATGGGGGACACATGGTAAGTACCACGATCACTTGTTTTAGTGGACAATTATTACACGGGCGTGCTTGGTACAAAACACTGATGGATGATTAGTCTTCCTATTGGCATTCATCATAATCATCATCCTACCCTATACAATGTAGTCATCGAGGGACGCTCAATTACACAGATCCGAAGCTCAGTGATATTACCAAACTCTGTAAGACAGCAGGGGAACATACTGGCTTATTTTAAGCTTTGGTCCACGTTAATAAAACAAGTAACAAAAATTTAACCCCATTGAAGAAGCTGCAAAGCAATGGGAAAAGGTAAAAGAAACCTTTCTCCCACTGTCTTCTTCAAGAGGTCCAATGGTCCCAAAAACACATGTCTTCCAACCTGGCCCTTCAATCATGAACCTAATTAGTGTTTCCCTTAAAACAAATGCAGACTCGCTTCCACCTCCTGGAATCTTCTAAATTCAATGGCACAATCATAAAGCCACAAGGTAAATCAGAAAAGTTTCTTCTTTTTTGTTTGCTACTCAGACAATGACAACTAGCTAAGAAGTGACAGCGTGAAAAATGCACTTAAAACGACGACGTTTAAAGGGCGCAAAGAGTCAATGACAGTAAAAAAGTTTTGAGAAAAGACAGAATACCTCAACTTGATTGTGGAAATGAAGCACCATCTGTGAACATGACTCGGAGATCTCATGTACCCGATCCGGCAGATTCTCCTGAACAGCATTCGCACAATCCCCACTCCATCTGTGAAAATTCCAGAACCTTCTGCCTGAACATACAATCACACATGCCTTAATCAAGTTAAATTCAATCCAACACGACAATTTTGTAATCAACCAAGATAAAAACTAATTGCAAGGAATTACAGAATTACCAGTTTTCTCGACGGAGAAGACAGCGAGCAGGGTTATACAGTCACCGGGACGGACCACATGGGTAAGAGCCCAAGCCAGTGCAGTTTTGGAAATCACTCTCTCAGCCTTGATGGCGACGATAACCTTATCCGGCGCGGTTTTGGCACCGGGAGCCTCCTTCAAAGCGGCTTCGACTTGGCCCGGGAACATTTCAGACGCCAAGTTCCGAATGTCTTTACTAAACGTGAAGGCTTTTGAGAACATGAGGAGCTGAACGAGCGTATGAAAATGGATTTGTGTTTAGATATGTCGACAAACAGCAACGTCATGCGGTGGTTGTGACGATGATCCTCAACCGACTACAAGTAAGGGCAAATTCGGCAATTCAACACTACGCAAAAGTTAATCAATCAAATGGAAACTTCTGATATTTTCTCATTTTGGTACCTAAATTACGGATGAACTCCATACTGATAAATTCTATCTGTGCTGAAATACAGTTCTGTCGTCAATTCAAAACTCAAACATGTACGAAAGCACTAGATGAACTCTTCCGTCAAACTATTTCTATATTAATTTGTTTATATGATCATTTGATTCCGTCAACGCAATGAGAAAACAAGTAATGGAGTACTGAACATATGAATCTCGGGAATGAGAAAAGAATGACGAGAGAGATGGAAAAAAAAAAGGTGTATACCTACGTGAGAGAAAGTGCTGGAACAATTGGCTGCAGTTGCTCCACGCGGCAAACTTCAAAACCAGTGCGATCAAGTGAAAGAGTGGAAACGCATTGATGCGGAATTATGGAGGAGACGACGTCGTATTGTTTGCAGATGCCAGCGCGAAACAGAGGACGGAGTAGCTGATCGGAAAATTGATCGCCGCCGTTGATTAAGCGGTAGAGAAAGAAGAGAGACAGAGAGAGATGAAGAGTTTTGGATGTGTGCGCGGTAGCGATCAGCGAAGAACAGTAGAAAAAATTGACTCGCGGGCTTTTGGACGTTTTGGCGATCCTGCTCTGCAGCCGTTGAATCTCTTTAAATAGGGATTTAAAATAAAGGCTTGATTTTAAAATTATATATCGCATCAATTGTTACTCCAAAAATTTAACACGTTAATTAATTTTTGTTAATTAAATCCACAAACTCACTAATTTTTATAAAATCAACTTTTAAGCAAAATTAAGTTTGGTAAGTGCAAAAAGTAATAATTGAATTCACTTAATTTTTTTTGGAATTTATACCATTAATATGTTTTATAATGTTTTCTAGCCATCTTTAGAACAAAAATTTATATAACGTGAGAATTAATTAGAAATTGACAAATATGCCGATAACAATTTTATTATTTTCTCTGCTTTTATTTTATATTATAAATGAGTGTGAAATAATAAAAAATTGAAAATAATTAAATTAGTCAATGAATTTGAAATTAAAGGAGAAAGAAAAGGAGAAAAAGGAAAGGAAATGAAAAGAGTTGAAGGGATAAAGAAAAGTGTTAGACAAATTTGGAGGTGAATTTGAAAACTTGAAGAGGGAGTGAAAAGTGAGGCAAATCGTCAAAGATGTGGGCATGTCTGGCGCCGCTGGCGAGGCGAGAGAGACTGAGATGCTCTGCTGGTCGGCCTTCGACGTTGGCCCTATAGCCCATGACAATGGGTCCATGGGGACCGCCTTCGCCTTTGGTGCCAGCGGATTCAGCCTTCTTTTTCACCGTCTCCGATGCTTCTTCATTCAATCCAAAATTAAAACATACCAAATTTTCTTCTTTTTTTTTCTTCTTTTCTGCATTTTGCTTTGGACTTTGGGAACCAGAGTTCCCCAAGCATTGAACTTTATCGGGAATCGAAACTCAATGCCCCATCGTTGCTGTCCATTGAAGGATTCATTTCAAAGCTTCAAAGTTCAAACCCCACAAAATATTATATATAAAAAAAGCGACACCAAGTCTTGTCCGCAAAAATTGGGATTTGGGAGATATCATTGGCTGTGTTATTAGTAGTAAAAAGAAGGATCATGTGAGAAGCAGTAATGAGCCAATTCAATGGACATAGACAAAGTTTGGGCGAACGTTCAAATATTTGAGTTCTAATTCAAGGTTGTTATTATTCTCATAGCTCAAACTGATTAATATCGTGAATTTAGGGAGGAGGGAGGGAAAATGAATTGAATGTAAAGGGAAAAAGAAAAAAAGAAAAAAAGAAAAAAAAGTTAAAGATGCAAAATTTCATCACCAAGAGCATCTAGTTGACTTTTCTTCTTTTTGTGAGCTGGGTTCGTATATTTTGAAATTGGATTAATATGGAATTTCTCAATATATTGTACAGAGTAGAGGGATAGTAACGTGGAATGGGAAGAATAATATTATTTTAGTATTTGGCTACTTTCTTTCCAAAATATCTTTACATATTCACAAGTTTTAATAATATTTTTATTTTTATTTTTTTTAAAATATTACCATTAATTTAAGAATCAAAACTTTATTTCAAAAATATTCTTTAAACTTTTTAAAAAATTTATTAATGTCTTTGAAGTTTTGAAAAAAGTTTGAGAGTTAATAATAAAATTTTTGAAAATTGAAGGATGTTTTTAAAAATAAAATAAAATAAAAATAAAAATATTTTAAAGTGGATTTTTTTTTAACTTTAGTACTAAATATTAAATATTTGAGAATGAGACGAAAGTTATCTTATTTATAATTAAATAAATTACAAGGAGGTGAGTAGAATAATAAATGGAAAGATATAAGAATGGAAATATACACAGGTAAATATCTAGATATTTATACATAATAAAAATCTTTAATAGTTACCTATTTTTATTTATTTTATAATATTTTTTCCTAAAGTTTATGGAGTGGTTTCGTAAATGTACAAACTCTTGCCAATAATATATAATCGTTACAATAATATAATCCTTACTTTTATAAAGCTTGTAACTCGAAGAAACGGTAAAAAGGACAGTGTAGATATAATTATTTATTTAAAGGATTATATTTGAGTGGAATTCGTCACCTACTTTGACAATAATTGAGATCATTGTACTAAAATTGTCTTTCTTACAAAAAAAAAAAAAAAGAGGTAAATTTTATTGATTAACACTAAACTTATATTAATAACTGTCACACCAAAAACAACACTATACAATATTTTTATTTATGAACTTTATTCGACAGACAGACGAGGACTTAAAACAATTTCAAGCGGAGCTTTTCTAAAAATAATAAATCCAAAGCCTTCTTCCATGTCAAGTAATTTTTCAGATGGCCTACCAATATCAAATTCATGAAGTAGGCTTGCAAGAGTAAGATGCACAAGTTGAAGGGCAAATGACATTCCAGGACACATCCGCCGACCCCTTCCAAATGGCATTAGTTGCATATTTTGTCCTTTCATATCAAACTTTGTGTCGTTTGTTAAGAATCTTTCCGGACGAAATTCACAAGGATCCTCCCAAACAAGTGGGTCTTTTTGCAGTTTTTGAACATTCACTAAAAGGCGTGTCTTTGCAGGGATATGATAGCCTGAAATTGTGCAATCTTCTACAGATTCATGAGGGATTAAAAACGGCGCTGCAGGATATAAACGTAATGTCTCCTTCACAATGGCTTGGAGATATATCAGATTTTTAATGTCGGACTCTTTTACTTGTCTTGATCTTCCAACTTTTTCATCTAATTCAAGTTGTGCCTTGTTAAGTGTTTCTTGATTGTTGAGGAGTAGGGAAAGAGCCCATGTCGTAGCAATCATGGTAGTGTATCCACCCAACATCATCGACTACACAATATCATAATTTAATTTGTTATTCATTAAGAGTTAGTTCATGTAAGGAATGAGCTTCGGATACATATGCTTACCAAACAAGTAGCTTTGGTGACTGTATCCGCATCAAAGCCACATAACCCTCCGTCGTCGTCGACAGCAGAAAGCATGACATCCATGAAGTCTTGCTCCTCTGTTTCCACACCACCTTCACCCCAATTCTTCTTCTTCTCTCGATGCTCTTTGATCCATTTAGTAAGCATCTCATCAAGCACCTTAGTCGTCTTATTCATGGCCTTCTTATACCCTCCCAAATCCAACCAACTTAGACACGAAAACGAGTCTGAAGGAACAAATGCCGCAAACAGTTTAAAAAAAGCCCTCAACGCCTCTCTGTACTGCTCCGCACCATTGCCTTCGAAAACAGCGCTGAATCGCTTTCCAACCACCATCCTAAATATTGTATTCAAACTCACATCCCCAAACCACCTCCTCATCTCAACCCTCACTTTCCCACCTGATCCCTTATTTCTGCTGTCCGCACATAACTCATACAGTTTCTCGATCGAATTTTGAACCTCACATATTCTAATGTGTTGGAGCTGCTCGAGGCGATGGTTCGTCAAGAGTTCAACTGTGGCTAGTTTGCGCACATGGCGCCAGTATGGACCGTAGGGGCTAATTCCCAAGGCTGCGTAGTTGTAGCCGAGCAGCTCTGAGGCAACAACTTTTGAGCGGGAAGCGAAAATTCTGTCGTTTGTGGTGAAGCACTCTCGCGCTATTTCCCAACTGCTCACGACAAGGGCTGTGTTCACGCCCAATTTTAAGGTAAAGATAGGTCCGTAGGCGTCGGCCATTCTGGCCAAGGTTATGTGAGTTGGCTCTGTTGCACTTAGTTTATGGAGATGGCCAATCACTGGCAAACGACCGGCGGCTTCCGGTGGAAGTGTGTTGTTGGTGCGATGAGCGGCGGATCTCCGAGAAGTTATACGAAAGAGAGCATAGAGAAATAGGAGAAGGGGGAAGGTTGCAGCTAAGATGTGAGTAAGTTCCATTTGTGATAGGCGTGAGTTTTCCAGTTTGGAGTGGCTGAATGGACATGGGATATTAATAGTAGTGTGGTCATTTTGATCCTATTACATTGTTACATCAACAATAATGTTACCAATTATTGTTATATATTAATCACAAATTGTTACTTTTATTTTATTTTATGGGAAATTTTTTATGGTTGTTTAATAGCCCGACAATCTTTTTTTTTTTTTTTTTTTTTTTTTTTTTCTATTGTCGTTACAATAATGAGAGTTAGTTGGAAAACTTTACATCATGGATCATTATTGATGGTAATCTTTTTCATTCTATTTTGTTTTTTAGTATGATATTAATAATTAATAATACATAAAATAAATGTTTGATAATATATAAAATAAAGAAATTGATCGTAATGACCTACCTTTCGAGCTGTGGATCATTATTGACATGGAATATTTAAAAATATGTATAATTTAAATTTTTTAAATATGTATGCACATAAAGGAATTTAATTTAATACAACAATGTTCAAAAATACATTACAAAATGACAAATTGCAACGACTCACACACAAAACATGATATAGGTAGTTCTTAAAATCTCGAAATACAAAAATCAAGGGTTCGTAAGAGAAATATGTTAAAAGGGGTTCAAGACACCGATCTAGCCCAAAACTCATTAGCTCTTAGCTCGTGTGCGTCTCCACCTCAACCGCTCCATCATACCTTATTTGAAAATTTTAAAGTAGTAAGGATGGGTATAAAAAATATGCACAATAACTAGCTTCCTAGTAGTTCATAGTTCGTTATTAAGTTTTATTAATCTTAATTCATTCGTTCGATGTCTTATTCTCATTTGGGGGTTTGTTCTCAAGTTTACATTCTTCCTAGGCTACACCCTATAGTTAATTATTCTAGTTTTCTTGGTTCTTGGTCTTGTATGGACCTCCATCCCTCGAAATATTATTCGGTTCTCTAGGTCTCCTTATTAGTCGTTTTGGCTAACGTTATGTGCAAGTTGGTTCAGCCGTCTTTCCACCATCTCCGGTGGCCAAAAAAAGGTGGAAATTTGGGATCTAGAAAGGGAGGGAAATCTAGTTGAATTATGTTACTTACTTTTATTTATTCTTTAGTGTTTTTCCATAAAGTTTGTGGAGTGATTTCGCAAATGTACAAACTTCTTACCAATAATATATAATCGTTACAGTAATATAATCCTTACTTTTATAAAGCTTCTAACATGAAGATACCTACTTTATTAGGCTTAGATAATTGTTAATTTAAAGGATTATATTTTAGTGGAATTTGTCCACTACTTCAACAATAATTGAGATTACAGTTTTAAAACTGTCTTCTTTCCTTAATTAACGCTAAATTTATATTAATAATTAATAACTACAGTATACAACCTTTTTATTTATTGTCCTCCACATAATTTTAAAAACAATCATGAACTTGACTCGATAGACGATAAACGAGGACTTAAAACAACTTCAAGAGGAGTTTTTTTAACACCAGTCAACCCAAAACCCTCTTCTTCCTTGTCAAGTAATTTTTCAGATGGCCTACCAATTTCAAATTCATGAAGTAGATTTGCGAGGGTAAGATGCATAAGTTGAAGGGAAAATGAGATTCCAGGACATTTTCTTCGACCACTTCCAAATGGCATTAGTTGATGATTTTGTCCTCTTAAATCAAATTTTGTGTGGCTTATTAAGAATCTTTCTGGACGAAATTCACAAGGATCCTCCCATACAAGTGGGTCTTTTTGCAGTTTTTGAACATTCACTAAAAGGCGTGTCCTTGCAGGAATATGATAACCTGAAACTATACAATCTTCTACGGATTCATGAGGGATTAATAACGGTGCTGCAGGATATAAACGCAATGTCTCCTTCACAATAGCTTGGAGATATGTTAGATTTTTGACATCAGACTCTTTCACTTGTCTTGATCTTCCAATCTTTTCATCTAATTCAAGTTGGGCCTTCTTGAGTGCTTCTTGGTCGTTGAGGAGTAGAGAAAGAGCCCATGTCATAGTAATTGTTGTGGTGTCCAATCCACCTAATATCATCGTCTACGTAATATCATGTTGTTCAATAAGAGTTGGTTCATGTAAGGAGTGGGTTGGGAATAAAGTTGAAATAAATATGCTTACCAAACAAGTAGCTTTGGTGACTGTATCGCCACCAATACCACATAACCCTCCGTCGTCGTGGACAGCAGAAAGCATGAGATCCATGAAGTCTTGCTCCTCTGTTTCCACTCCACCTTCACCCCAATTCTTCTTCTTCTCTCGATGTTCTTCGATCCATTTACTAAGCATTTGGTCAAGCACCTTGGCGGTCTTGTTCATGGCCTTCTTATACCCTCCCAAATCCAACCAACTTAGAAACGGAAACAAATCTGAAGGAACAAATGCCGCAAACAGTTCAAAAAAAGCCCTCAACGCCTCTCTGTACTGCTCCGCACCACTGCCTTCGAAAACAGCGCTGAATCGCTTTCCAACCACCATCCTAAATATTGTATTCAAACTTACATCCCCAAACCACCTCCTCATCTCAACCCTCACTTTCCCACCTGACCCCTTATTTCTGCTGTCCGCACATAACTCATACAGTTTCTTGATCGAATTTTGAACCTCACATATTCTAATGTGTTGGAGCTGCTCGAGGCGATGGTTCGTCAAGAGTTCAAGCGTGGCTAGTTTGCGCACGTGGCGCCAGTATGGACCGTAGGGGCTAATTCCCAAGGCTGCGTAGTTGTAGCCGAGCAGCTCTGAGGCAACAACTTTTGAGCGGGAAGCGAAAATTGTGTCGTTTGTGGTGAAACACTCGCGCGCTATTTCCCAACTGCTGACGACAAGGGCTGTGTTCATGCCCAATCTTAAGGTAAAGATAGGTCCGTAGGCGTCGGCCATTTTGGCCAAGGTTATGTGAGTTGGCTCTGTTGCACTTAGTTTATGGAGGTGGCCGATCAGTGGCAAAGCACCGGCGGCTTCAGGTGGGTGTCTTTTGTTCGAGCGATGGGCGGCGGAGGATCTCCGAGATGCAATACGAAAGAGAGCATAGAGAAAGAGGAGAAGGGCGAAGGTTGCAGGTAAGATGTGAGTAAGTTCCATTTGTTGTGGGCGTGAATTTTACAGTTTTGAAGGATTTATTTATATTGGATTTAATATTTAGGTATATTTTTTTTTAACATTCTCTAAAATTGAGACTTTCGAAATTTCTTGGCCGCCTGCGTGTTTGTATTTTTCTTTCATTTTTCAAGCAGACTTATCCTTCGGATTGGAATTTTGTTGATTGTTATGCGCATCATAAAATAAAAGGACCGCAGATTGCCTTGCCTCCGTTCTTTGTTGACGTGTCAATCTCTAGATCACACAACTACTTACCTATATCTAATAACCATTTAGTCTCTATATATAGCCATTTATTATGATTTATTATATATGACCATTTAATAACAATTTATTACATCATAAATGTCATCTACCCTACCGTTAAGTAGGATAAATGTCATTTACATGCCATTAAAATAAGTAGCGGACTCCATAGTCTAACACTTATATCGTTATTAATTTAAATTTTTGATAAAGACTTTTTTTCACTCTAGTATTAGAAAGATCTAACCTTACCAAATAATCCATAGACGTAATAGATATCTCTATCATTCAACTTTTAATTGTTGGGTTGCTTGTATTTTTGTATTTATGATTTCTAGAAGTGAGAATTTGGATTATTTGTCTAGGATGGATAGTGACAAAATATATATATATAATAAACCATTAGAAGATTAACATTCTAAGACTGGTCAATCCTACACTCTCTTCCATGTCGAGCGGTTCATCCGATGATCTCTCAATTTTAAACCCATGCAGAAAGTTTGCAAATGTGAGATGTATCATTTGAAGGGCAAATGAGATTGCAGGGCACATCCTTCGACCATTTCCAAATGGTATGAATTGTGGACTTTGTCCTCTAACATCAAAATCCTTCTGGCTTGTTAGAAATCTTTCTGAACGGAATTCACACGGCCCCTCCCAAACAACTGAGTCTTTTTGAAGCTTTTGAAAGTTAACTATGAGGCGTGTCCCCTTGGAGATGTGGTAGCCAGCCGCTGTGCAATCTTCTATAGATTCATGAGGGACTAACAGTGGTGCAGCAGGATACAATCGAAGAGTTTCCTTGACAATAGCTTGGAGATATGGTAAATTTTTGACATCAGACTCTTTTACTTGTCTTGATCTTCCAACTTTTTCATCTAATTCGAGTTGGGCGTTCTCGAGTACATCTTGATGATTGTTGAGGAGTAGAGAAAGAGCCCAAGCCATAGTAATTGTGGCTAATACCATATTCTACACCAATTTGAACAAAAGGTTATATTAATCCATACCAAATTTGATTAGAACATGAAAAGACAGAACTTACCAAGCATGTAGCTTTAATGACGGTATCGGCATCGTAGCTGAAGTGTTGTCCATCTTCTTCAACTCTAGAAATCATCACATCCATGAAGTCCTGCTCCGCCGTCTCCGCTTGGCCCTCGTTTCTTCAAGCTAATAATACATAAAATAAATGTTTTGTAATATATAAAATAAAGAAATTGATCCTAATGACCTGCCTTTCGAGCTGCAGATCATTATTGACATGGAATATTTAAAAATACGTATTTAATTTAAATTTTTTAAATATGTACGCACATAAACTAATTTAATTTAATACAACAATGTTCAAAAATACATTACAAAATGACAAATTGCAACGACTCACACACAAAACATGATATAGGTAGTTCTTAAAATCTCGAAATACAAAAATCAAGGGTTCGTAAAAGAAATTTGTTAAAGGGGGTTCAAGACACCGATCTAGCCCAAAATTCAATAACTCTTAGCTCGTGTGCGTCTCCACCTCAACCGCTCCATCGTACCTTATTTGAAAATTTTAAAGTAGCAAGTATGAGTATAAAAAATATGCACAATAACAAGCTTCCTAGTAGTTCATAGTTCGTTATTAAGTTTTATTGATCTTAGTTCATTTGTTCGATGTCTTATTCTCATTTGGGGGTTTGTTCTCAAGTTTAAGTTCTTCCTACGCTACACCCTATAGTTAATTATTCTAGTTTTCTTGGTTCTTGGTCCTGTTTGGACCTCCATCCTTCGAAGTATTCTTCGGTTCTCTAAGTTTCTTTATTAGTCGTTTTGGCTAACATCATGTGCAAGTTGGTTCAGCCGTCTTTCCACCCGTCATTTTGGCTAACGTCATGTGCAAGTTGGTTCAGCCGTCTTTCCACCATCTCCCGTGCCCGAAAAAGGTGGAAATTTGGGATCTAGAAAGGGAGGGAAATCTAGTTGAATTATGTTACTTACTTTTATTTGTTCTTTAGTGTTTTTCCATAAACTTTGTGGAGTGATTTCGCAAATGTACAAACTCTTACCTAATCGTTACATTAATATAATCCTTACTTTTATAAAACTTCTAATATGGAGAAACGTTAAAAAGAACAATGATATTTAGGGGTGTACATGATCCGGATTGAGTTGGGTTGAGCGATTTTTCTGACCCAACCCAAAAGTTCGGGTTGGTTCGATTGGTAATCCAACTCAACCCGAAACTTTTCACAACCCAACCCAATCCAACCCTCTATTTTCGGGTTGGGTCGGTTGTCAATTTTTTTTAAGTTTTATTTATCCACAATTTATAATTATTACAATGCAATCTTAAATAAAAAATATTAAAATTCACAAACAAACACAACACAATCCATAATTATTCACAAAAAAGAAGAAAAAAAAAGGACAAATTCAATAAATAACAATACCGTTCTTGAAAATTGATTAAAGTAAAAAAAAAAATATATATCATGAAATTAAATAAACAATAAAAATGATTAGTTTAAAGATATGGTATAAAAAAAAAAAATATATATATATATATATATATATAAATTATGATATAATAATGTTATAACAAATAAGAAATAAATACATTATAATTTAGAATTACTTGTCTTAGCTTAATAACGAGTGACCTGTTAAAGATAGAGACCTAGACAATTAGAAAATAATAATTATTATATATATATAAATTATAAATTATGATATAATAATGTTACAACAAATAAGAAATAAATACATTATAATTTAGAATTACTTGTCTTAGCTTAATAACGAAAGTCAAAACATTTAAACTTATAATCCGTAAAATAATTCAAAATAATATGCATTGAACTAACCTTTGAAATTATATATATAAAACGAAGTTTTTTTTTTTAACTGAATTCGACGGGCGCGAGTCTTTTTAGACTAGCCAAAATACCACTCTGGCAAATTCATTATAAGAAATAGTTCTTAATATATATTATATATTTCAATTTATCTCGGGTCAATCCGAGGGTTTTGCCCACAAACCCGAAACCCAACCGATTCAGTTCGGATTTAGAAAAATGAACCTAATCCTACCAAAAATGCTAATCTAACCCAACCCAATCCTTGTAATTCGGATTGGATTGGTCCGGATTGTCACGTTGAATGTACACCCCTGATGATATCTACTTTATTAGGCTTAGATAATTGTTAATTTTAAGGATTATATTTTAGTGGAATTTGTCCACTACTTCAACAATAATTGAGATTACAGTACTAAAACTGTTTCTTTCCTTAATTAACGCTAAATTTATATTAATAATTGCCACAATAATTACTACAGTGTACAACGTTTTTATTTATTGTCCTCGACCTAATTTTAAAAACAATCCTGAACTTGACTCTACAGACGAGGACTTAAAACAACTTCCAGGGGAGTTTTTCTAACAACAGTTAGCCCAAAACCCTCTTCCATGTCGAGTAATTCTTCCGATGGCCTACCAATTTCCAATTTCAAATTCATGAAGTAGATTTGCAAGTGTAAGATGCATAAGTTGAAGGGCAAATGAGATTCCACGACACATTCTTCGACCACTTCCAAATGGCATTAGTTGATAATTTTTTCCTCTCATTTCAAACTTTGTGTGGCTTGTTAGGAATCTTTCTGGACGAAATTCACAAGGATCCTCCCATACACGTGGGTCTTTTTGTAGTTTTTGAACATTCACTATGAGGTGTGTCTTTGCAGGGATATGATAGCCTGAAACTGTACAATCTTCTGCAGATTCATGAGGGATTAATAACGGCGCTGCAGGATACAAACGCATCGTCTCCTTCACAATAGCTTGAAGATATGGTAGATTTTTGACATCGGACTCTTTTACTTGTCTTGATGTTCCAATTTTTTCATCTAATTCAAGTTGGGCCTTGTTGAGTGCTTGTTGATTGTTGAGGAGGAGAGAAAGAGCCCATGTCATAGTAACGGTCACGGTGTCAAATCCACCTAATATCATACTCTACATAATATCATGTTATTCAATAAGAGTTGGTTCATGTAAGGAGTGGGTTTTGAAAAGGATAAGGGAATAAAATTGGAATACATATGCTTACCAAACAAGTAGCTTTGGTGACTGTATCGCCATCAATACCACATAACCCTCCGTCGTCGTGGACAGCAGAAAGCATGAGATCCATGAAGTCTTGCTCCTCTGTTTCCACTCCACCTTCACCCCAATTCTTGTTCTTCTCTCGATGTTCTTCGATCCATTTAGTAAGCATTTGGTCAAGCACCTTGGCGGTCTTGTTCATGGCCTTCTTATACCCTCCCAAATCCAACCAACTTAGAAACGGAAACGAATCTGAAGGAACAAATGCCCCAAGCAGTTCAAAAAGATCCTTCATCGCTTGTCGGTACTGCTCCCCACCGCTGCCTTCAAAATCAGTGCTGAATCGCTTTCCGACCACCATCCTAGATATTGTATTAAGAGTAGTATTCCCAAACCACGCCTCCATCTCAACCCTCACTTTCCCACCGGACCCTTTACTTGGGCTGTCGGCGCATAACTCATACAATTTCTTGATTGAACTTTGAACCTCGGATATTCTAATGTGTTGGAGCTGCTCGAGGCGGTGGTTCGTCAAGAGTTCAAGCGTGGCTAGTTTGCGCGCATGGCGCCAGTATGGACCATAGGGGCTAATTCCCAAGGCTGCGTAGTTGTAGCCGAGTAGTTCTGAGGCTACAGCTTTTGAGCGGGAAGCGAAGATTGTGTCGTTTGTGGTGAAGCACTCTCGCGCTATTTCCCAACTGCTCACGACAAGGGCTGTGTTCATACCCAATCTTAAGGTAAAAATAGGTCCGTAGGCGTCGGCCATTTTGGCCAAGGTTATGTGAGTTGGCTGTGTTGCACTTAGTTTATGGAGGTGGCCGATCAGTGGCAAAGCACCGGCGGCTTCAGGTGGGAGTCTTTTGTTGGTGCGATGGGCAGCGGAGGATCTCCGAGATGCAATACGAAATAGAGCATAGAGAAATAGGAGAAGGGCGAAGGTTGTAGGTAAGGTGTGAGTAAGTTCCATTTGTGGAGGGAGTGATTTTTGCAGTTTGGAAGGTAAGTCTGGGAAGGATTTATATGAGATTTATTGGATTGAAGTGGTGGTACACTGGTGGGCCTAAATGAATAATAAAAATCTTAGTTTTATGAAAATTATTTGTTATTAGTATTCATATTTTTAGAAATTTCAAAAACTTCAACTTCAACTCTTTTTTATTAATACTCATACTTCAAAAATATGTTTCATCTTTCAAACTTTAATTAATGCTTTAATCTTTTCTTAAATTAAAAAATGCAGTATCCAGACGAAATGGTGAGTATTAAGTTTAATTAATACTTTGACATTGTCCTCAACGCACGAACGGTGAGTACTGTTTGTTTGTTTGTTCTTAATTTCTTGTTTGGATAGTGATTTCTTTGATTTTTTCAAGCAACCTTATCCGGTTGAATGATTGAGAGTATGGAAGGATATAGAATTTTATGGAAGATCGTATTGAATGAAAATTATGTTCATGGTTTGGAGGGAGATCTTGGCGTGTGGCATTCCTTCTCTTCTAATTGAATTAATCGTGAGAGTTGATATTGATCCACTTTGATTCATTGAGTGGGTACCAAGATTGGTGGTTCGCCATTCGATAGTTCTGGTCATAGACATAGCGCTATATGCGAAAGCTTTGAATATGAAAATGCATATATGTCTATGTTAGTTAGGCCAGTGTTGACAGAATTCTTTTTAAGAGGACAACCACATCACCTCCCTTATTTGTAGTTGTCAATCTCCATACCTTATAACTTCTTCCAATTTTTACGGTAATTTCGTAAACATCGAACCTATTCTGATTGTAGTTCTGATGGAGATAGAAAATGATAATTCTATTTGTGGTTGGTACAAAGAAATATGATAGATTAACAAATCCGATTTACTACTATATTAAGAGGATATTTTGCCGTGATAATTAGTTAGAATATATCTTATATATTTAGGAAGCTGTTAGTATAGATTTGATTAACCGTATATTTTATTTATTTACCAGATTTAATTAGATATATATTTTTCTATTTTTAGGTATTAGTTGATAGTTTGTATCCTATTTAAACGTGTAAACCTGAATGAAGATCATACTTTCGATCCCAATTCTATTTCTATTTCTCATTCTTAACATGGTATCAGAGCACCGATCTTGGTGTTCTTAAATATCAAAATTTCCTTTATGGCGGAATCAGCCAAATCTAGCTTCAAAATTTCGGATGTTGATTTAACACATCCGTACTATATTCATCACTCTGATCAGCCAGGATATTCACTTGTTCCAATCAAATTAAATGGAGCAAATTATCAATCCTGGAGGAAATCAGTTATGCATGCTCTTATTGCCAAGAAGAAAATTGGCTTCATTGATGGCACAATTGAGGAACCGTCCCAAGATGCAAATTCAACCGAATTCGAACTCTGGAATCAGTGCAACAGTATGATAATATCTTGGTTAACTCATTCCGTTGAAGCAGATATCGCTAAAGGCATTATTCACGCCAAGACAGCTCATCAAGTGTGGGTTGATCTTCACGATCAATTCTCACAAAAGAATGCTCCAGCAATTTTTCAAATACAAAACTCGATAGCAACGATGTCACAAGGAACCATGGCACTGTCAACATATTTCACCAAGCTCAAAGCACTCTGGGATGAACTGGAAGCGTACCGCACACCATTTACCTGTAATCAACGTCAAATACATATTGATCAACGCGAAGAAGACAAGTTGATGCAATTGCTCATGGGGCTCAATCAGTCTTATAAAACGGTGAGATCTAACATATTGATGATGTCTCCAT